GGGGGGGGGGGAGTGTCTCGAGTTGTGAGTGGTCACCTCTCCCTTGTGCCTTACGAAGTGCTCCCATACGACCAAGCGTCCTAAACAGCTTCTGCTGAGGAAGCTCTACTCACTGCCTGCTCGCGGTGGTGTTTTCTCACTAATTTGAGAGGACGCATGGCCAGCGTCCGGGGTTACAACCGAGTCGGTGAACCACTGACAGTTCACCTGGGTGAGATGGCTAAAACCCCTGATTCGAGNTAGTGTTTACCATCTCGAGTGGGTATCGAGATACACTGGACGTTTTACCCCGTCACAAGGATCCGATCACTATAAAGCTTATTCGATTAAAGTGTAACGCGATTGAAAACGAGAAATAAAACAAATCGTTTGCTACCGGTTTTCGTAACTGTGGGCTCATCCGTCCTTCTATGTCTCACACTTTGGTATTTGTTTGAAAACAATTCTCTGTTCTGTTCCTGAAAGACGAAAAAATAAGTTGCAATTTGTTATGGGAAATGTTGCGGATATATAGCGCATTTCGAACCGCTGAGTCTCTGATGATATGCTAAGGAACGATATTTTTAAACGCCTACATCGTAACTTACTTTCCTGATTCGCCGTTCTGACTTTCTGATTGTTGGTCGTGGGTGAAGTTTAAAAAGCATCATGCATCTGTTCCGACGGTAAGGTTGTCAGTGTGCGTCCTTCCGATACCTGTACCTCACGGATAAAATGCAATTTGTTTGATTCTCTCTCTAATCTGCTTGATATCAAGCCTTACTGATTCGTGCCTAGTGCAGTTTGTGAGTGCCAGTTCAAGTTCTTAGATTGCCGGCTTTTGCCATCCGCTGTTCGGTCTTCTTCACCATGATAAACCCCGCAGGAATTCATTACGCCGATCACCCTCCAGTGGCTTAGCCCATACGACAGGCGAGGTGGGCGATAAGCTTAACCGTAACGGGATTAATCACCACCGATGTCTGATTGCTTTGGCGGAATTTTTATCTATGATCTTAGCCGGTCGGCCAACACTTTGCTAACTGCTGGCACCAATGCGCTGTGGTACTGAATAGGTCAATTAATAAATGTGATCCAGTGAGTCTTTTTTTCTTTTTAGCCATGAAGCTATCTCGTCTCAAGATGGCGACCGTAGGTTTTCAGAAGGCTGCTGTTATCAAATCATTTAATCTATCATCACTCCATAAATTACCCAGTCACATGCAAGCATGGCAATGTCTACGTTTTCTTGATCCATCTTCGAGAGACGTTACTCAAGAACTGCACCTCACGACAACTCGTCGATTGCCCACCTTAACTCGCCCAGATCACGTATTGGTCAAAGTCGAGTGGGCTTCCATAAATCCGATCGATCTGATGAATTTGTACGGATATGGGTCCACTAGTTTTCATTTTGCGCGACAGTTGGGCTCGAAACTCAATATTCTCGGTTTTTCTGATGAAGATGATGCAGTTAGCTGCGATAGTTCTCAGTTTCCTTGGACTCCAGGCAGGGATTTCACCGGGACGATAGTCAGTTGCGCTCCCGAAGCACTTCGTGGATGTCGAGGATCCTACACTCGCGTGGTACCGGGACAACAGATAGTCGGTGTTACCTGGCCCTTCCTGAGTAGCACAGGATCTGGAGGATTTGCCCAATTCGTGGTTTGTCCGGCTGCGTATACTGCGGAACTCCCTCCGAATGTAAATTCAGAACAGGCAGCGGCTATCGGTTACTCAGGCTTAACTGCTTGGTCGGCCTTGGTAACTGGTGGTTTTTATCCTTGCTATCGACCAAAACCGTATTTGAATCAAACTTCAGCACCCATGGTTCTGGTGACCGGAGCCACAGGCGGAGTTGGTCTCGTTGCGGCTCAGTTGGCCAAGTTGTCCGGTGCCTGCGTTCATGTTACATGTCCTTCTGATAAGAGGGCTATTGATATGATGAGGCAGCTCGAGGTGGACGATGTGAGTTTCACTGCTTTCGTTCACTTCCTGCCACTGCACATACTTTTACTGTTTTCTTCTGAAACAATTGATGATTGATTGATTCTTTTCGTTTTGCAACAAATACCGATTGACTGGTGCTTTTAGGCATCTTCATAGCACAGCCTATTTTACGGTTCATGCCCATATATCTTAGCTAGTAGCACTTCTAAGAAAATATAATACGTGAAGAGGAACGGTGGAAAATTGATGTATAATGCGAATACCGCGTGAGGGCTAGAAAACTAACAAACCAAGTTCAGTGAAAATAGAAAATCGGTTTGTACAATGTGAGTGGTGTTTCTCTGTGATGAAATGACATAACCCTTCAAGATGGCACGTATGAAATCACCCCGCGATTCCTTTTAAAAGCGTTGTCTGTGTGCTTAGCGAAGAGACACGTCCATTTTTGTTATAAAAGGTTCACAGTTGAAATACTGTAGTTGCGGACGCAAACGTATAAATTATCCTTTCGCCAAATTGAAGACTCAGGATATAAAAGCCCTAACCAGGGACTTGTTCATTTAGGCCACGTTGAACTTCTTAGTTAAGAATCATGTAACCAACCTAAAAAAGTAGTTAGGGCCCCTGAGTGCTACGCCTGTGTCATGAACAATAGTGTCCTTGCATTTGACGAACTTCTGTGTATAGATATTTTCCCTGAGTGTTGTAGACAAATTATCCCTTTAGTCTTCTTGGGTTTTTATTTCCTCCTTTCGCGAACAAAACGAATAGCCGAACCACATCAACTAAAAGTGGTGCTCGAAGGTGCACCATTATTGTCTATCCGTAATGATTATCACTATGTTTTTGTCACAGTGCCTAAAACGACAGTTAATATTGCATCCGCAGGTTTTTACTTTCCTCCAGGTTTGAGGTTCGAACTCAGCCGTCGGATTTATCTTATCAGGTGTATGATATTAGCGGACTCGCGTGCATGATGAAACAGTGAGGTTAGCTTGTATCTAATTGGCATAACGATATGCCCGAACACTCCTGAATTTCGTTAATCGATTTACGCTGTTGTCACTCCGGTTTCACGTTAATACATAAAGGCCAGTTGGATGAAACTGGTTAAAAGCGAGACGTGAGAACTTCCACAGGCATCATCATCATAATCGTACAGCAAAATACAGTGAATTGAACTCCACTGATTGCTGCCAAACTCGCAACGCATACAAGGTTAGTGGTAGCGTTTAAGGTGGACAGGGATTGGATTGAGGGAGGGGAAGAAGGAGAGCCACTATGGTCAACACGCAGAGTGCACAGTCGAACTCTGCATACATACCGTTTCAAGCATTCTGGCCTGATAAGAAATTACAAGAATGCCACTGCTGTCGGTTCACTGCCATATTCTTCAATGTCTCCAACCAACCAGTTACGGAGTCTTTCAGACCCCAACCTGGAAGGCGTGTGACACCCACTTAACCTGTCGGCTCTGTGCATTTCTTCATGCCTCGTTTNATCTGTTGGCCTCCACGTGGTTTCCTCCAGCCCGGAACGACTACAGCGAATACGGCGCGATGTGGTAGACGGTAGCTGGGCGTACGCAGTTCGTGCCCTAGCCAACGAAGCCTACTAATCTGAATTCGATGTGCTAGCAGGTTTGTGCCTGACAGACTTCCAAACACACGACGGCTTACCTCCAGGTTACTTACCCGTTTGCTCCATCCCACATGAGTTAAACTGCGTAAATATCGATAGTCGAAACCTCTAACCGATGGATTTCCTCTACCCGCAAATTCAAGGTCTCATAATCATAAAGCAGGACTGAACGAACGGTGGTGTATATCGTGCACGATATACACCACCTCTCAACTTCGGTGAAATGTCGCGTCTACATAAAGGTGTTTCAGTCCTACGTATGCTACTCCAGCCTTGAAAATGCGAGCGGCTATCTCCTTTGCTGCACTACCGTCATTGGTCACGCAACTATCTAAGTGCGAAAAGTGATTTACTACAATTAATTCCTGGCCGTTTAGTTTCAGAGTGGGGGTAGGTGACACCCAGTCTTGCAGCATTAATTTGCACTTTGAAGGTGCGAAGCACATACCGAATGTGGCAACTGCACTTATTAATCTGTCAAGTGCGCATTGCTCATCTTCCAAACATTCGAACAGACAGATGATGTCATCGGCGTACTGCAAATCGCACAGTTTTTCTCCAGCTGTCCATTCAATTCCTATGTTTTGGAGACCACTAAGTGCGTTCTGCAGTATTTCGTCTACGACGAAATTGAACAGGAACGACGAAAGAGGGCCTCCTTGAGGAACGCCGCTGCTGGTGACGAACGGCCTGCTTAGTTCGTTGTGAACCCTCACTCGGCCAGGGTTATGCGAGTACATTGACCTCAGTAAGTTAACGTACTTCTGGGGCATTCCTTTTCGAAGAAGGGAACTCATTAGAGCTTCGCGGTCAACTGAGTCCAAGGCTCCTTTCAGGTCAAGGAACGCTGCGATCGTTTGTCGACGGTGGATATGACGCAGCTCAAGAACCTGCCGCAAGGTAAAAGGTTGATCAATATATCCACGGCCAGGCCGGAATCCGGCTTGCTGTTCACGGATGTTGATCTCCCTTAAAGAAGTCACACGCTGAAGTATAACCGGAGGATCGGGATCGAACGTATCCCGCGGTGGTTTGCGCAATCGCTTCGGGATCCTTTATTGAAAATGGGAACTATCAGTGATTCTCTCCAAGATGAAGGAATGCGCTCTTTCGCCCAAATATTGCGCAGTACGGTAGTAATGGAGCTTACGAGGTTAACACCCCTCGTCTTGAAGAGAATGGGAGGGAGCTCATCCGGTCCTGCTGTCTTTCCTCTCTTCAGAGCTTGAATGCAAGACCAAACTTCTGCTTCTGTTGGAGAATCGCACGACACTGCCCACGGAGCTTCAGTTACAGATAAAATGACCTGTATTGCGGCAGGCCAGTTAAACTGTTCACTGATAAAGTCGTTGATCCCCATTGTGAATAGCATTCCCACTTTTGTCCCAGGTTGTTTCACCAACTGGGGTTCGCCGACCTCCCGTATTGCATGTCAGTCGGGACAGTCTTTGACTATTCCCTGATGCAGCTGCTACTTCCGTTTCACTAGCTATTGTTGTCCACCAGTTTTCACGGTCCTTCTTGAGGCTCTTCATGAGCCGACGTTGTAGCTGCCATCGAACTCTATTTTGAACCTGTTAGGTCGGGACTTGCCGTTTTTGATCCATCAGTGCTACATACTCATCAGATATCC